GAACCACCGCCGTAGAAATGCATGCTCATGCAGCGGAAGCACGGACGAAAGCTACCCGCTCGCGCTTGTACTCTCTTCTCTGGTTTATGTTGGCTGGGGTAAAACCGGATCTAGCAATTTCCGGACTTCTAGCGCTTGTGCAGATGTGCCTTGAGTGACGCCAAAGACAACGGCTCCTCGGAGAAAGACGCGTGATCGTGCGGTTCGTTTAATAGCGTTTAACATGACTATAAAAACAACATAAAGCCCAAAAGCAAGTGTCCTACTTTTGCCTTCCTTGCATAATGTGCAGTTGGAAACACTTAGGTTTGTCGTACCGTTGTGCATAGCATAGTTTTTATGTTTTTACGCTTTCCCCCTCTCCTCTCTCTAGCAAACTGCAATGGCTGGCATAACTTCTACGTTATTTTTCAATTAGTCCTGATAAATTTTTTTAGTGGATCTGATGACGAAAGTATCAGGAAACAGGAGACGACGCGAATGAATGTTTTTGGAGAACCTGATTGCTCGTGTTTGAAGCTGGGAAGCTGTGAGCAGCTATGGGCTTGAATTGAGCAGTTACATTAAATATTTCTATACACTCTGCGTAATGGAACATGTTCAGGCGCGAAGATTAAAGCGATTATCGGCTTGACTCCTACCTTATCCTATCAACGCACTATTCACGCGTGTCTGCTTTGTCTACTACATGGGGGCCGATGCTACTTCGTAGCATAATATTCGAAGAAAATACGCTTAAGTGTATTTCTATGTCCTCGCCTTTACCACATGAAAGCAATCATGCAAACTCACACAAACACGCACAACGTTTTTTGTTTTGTATACTAAATGGGTCTGTAGTGGTAACAATTCTGAGGTACCTTGCTTTCCTACCGTCAGTTCATAGCATGCAGGTCCTTTATGCCTCGGTTGTTCCTCTCTAGTTTATACTGATGTGAAATGTGTAACTAGAATCACGGTAGTGACGAGGTGTCTTAGCCCGCCGCTAGACGGCTCCCAAAGACGCCTATTTGTCTTATTGGCTCTACATTGCCTAGATGACTCAAGGTGCCATCCGATTCAAAGGGTTCGGTCGTATACATCCATTCGTTCACTCATCCTTTCTTATTTTTATTATATGCTGCGAAACCATGGGCGTTGCCAATAAAAATTCGTCGCAGCTTGCGGCTCGCATCGTTTCATCTTACGTCCGTCTATCAGTTACGTACTTTACCCACTACTGACCATCCGCAAATCAAATGGCGTAAAACGTGTACGCCATTTTCATGCAGTGCACACGCTACAGCATCCTTCACATACAGGAACCACTCCAGTCAAACCAAATTTTGTTTCATGAAGTCAGAAAGCCTGACATAATAACGAAAACAACTTGTAGCAGTTGTTAAAATGGTGCTTGCAATTAGTAATTAGATGATCTAAAGAGAGGATACAGATTTTTAAAACAAACCTTGTTTGATCAGGCAAGAGTAGGCCTGTGCGAACGAAGGCAAGTAAATAGCTCGCGTTATATGTGAAGTTCAAATAATTCTTTATTTTATATAAATACCTATACTTGGAATAACTTATTCAAGTATAATAACAGGAACTTAACATTTGCCGATGGCTTTTTGCCAATGGCGTCGCAACACCTTGAGTGTCGGCATTTCCCAGAAATTAGACCAAAGGGAAGAGACGTCACCGAGTTTCCGAAATTTCGTACTGGATTATGACGAGTTATATGCAAACTAGATCATCAACAAAATATGTGCAGGTACTAAGGTACTAGGCTTAGTCGATAAAAGAAGTAGGAAGAGTGACGTCACGCACCAACCACTCCCTCTGCAAAAAAAAAAAAAAAGAAGAAAATCCGAATGTGACATCAAGGACGTCGTTATTTGTCTTTGATTGGAGTAGTCTGCACAATGCCTTAAATTCTACACACACACACACACACACACACACACACACACACACACACACACACACACGATAAGTAAAATGCGTATCTGGAATATAAGATTTACCTTTAGAAGTATATATATGCAATGCATTGATGACAGAAAACGTTTCTACAATATACGTATATCTATGTTTATGTACATGGTGTGCATTCGATCGGTGCGGACGTAGTATGTTATATGTGACGACGTCGAAGTACGACGCGGCATGTGCGAACGGGAACGGTAGTGCAAGGACGTAGCATGACCTAATGTTCATGTTAAAGGGGGACTAAATATATTTTGGGATTATAAAGTACAACATGCGACCATAGAGATATGAATCAATGTTAATATATAGAGTGTCCACAATGGATACCGGAACTGTAAAACAAACCGGAAAAATCGGCACCTGCACATAGAAAGCGCCATCTTTCATTCAATGTGAATTTAGATGACGCATTTTACTCAACTAAAATTCAAGGCGTAGCTGCTTTTTTTTTATTGATACTAACAATCTTGATGAGGTCAACAACGGATTTGTTCGCAGACAATCGAGCCAGCGATGGTTGCAACTTGTAATGCTATCCGCCGATAGGCGCAGCGAGCAGACGTCGCACCGTTTCCTCACTGCGTCTATCGGAAGATGACGCCACAAGTTAGAACCATCGCTACCTCAGTCGTCTGCGAAGTTCGAACACATACGCTGCAGACCCTAGCAAGTTTGTTGGTTTCACATTTTCGCAGGAAGGGAGCTACGCCTTGATATTTCACCAGGTAATATGCACCGCATAAACGCACATCCAAAGAAAGTTCCAGCTTTATATGCGCTGGCTTTGGTTTTTCTGACTCGTTTTGCAGCGCTACGGTTCATTGTAAACACCCTATACCAGTACAAAAAAGCAGATCGTTTCCGAGCAACTACGGGGTCGGTATACGTTTCCCGACAGGAAACATAGGCTGGAGCGGTAATGTGGTCTTTCGTCTGGTAGTAGTCGTGTATTAACTTCTTTAATATTTGAAGAAAGATAGGCAGGTTATTTTTGTACTAGATGACTTTGGAAGGGTTGAGACATCACATCGCATTTCATCGTAACAAAAGCAGCTCCACCAACAACAACCATAAAGCGATGCCCGAATGGTAACATCTTTTTATAAATTCAACGTTTCTTGTTTGGCATAGCTGGACAACTTATTCGCGTAAAAGGTGCTTTACATATTTGCTTCAACAATTCTTTGGCCTATTCGTATGTTTAATCCAAAAGTAGAGAGAAATTTTGTCAGTATTGCTCGCAGTCATCTAGGGGAGCGAGATATAGAATGGACAGAATCGATTGTAGCTGTCACTGACATACAAAACATTATTTATTTTTAAATTATCCCTAAATAAATTGCATTTTTTTTTGTGCAGGTGATATCTGCATATTTAGGTGAGCCCAATGATAATTTTATCTGACACTGTCTCCGCTAAAATCGAACTAATCTTCGCGTACCTCTTCATTTTTTTTTTTAAACTGGGACAACTTTGGTTAGAAATCACCTGACCTGATTTAGCAAAAATCTTTCCCCGAAATAACTACTATGCACAGAATTTTAAACTGAACAGGAGAATGAAGAGGAATCCCGTCTAAAAAAAGTCAACCTCATGTATTCAGGCAACGTAGCCTATAATAAGGCGAACATGTTCGTCTCGTCACAAACCAACGAATGTTGCAACGAACGTAAAGTCTGACTTTAAGCTAACAGCGATAAAAAAATGATAACATAGATAAAAAAAATTCTGCAATTATTGCCACTAATACACCTAGACAAATGCACAGCTCGAAATATTTCAAGAATAGTTTAAAGCAGCAGGCGAACGTTTCATTTGACAACAATCGTATCGACTTCCATAAGAGTTCAACAAGAACAGCCAACAAGGCTACAACAACAACAAGGCTATACTATCATACGCACATGCACACACACACTCATATACCGTCGAAACATATGCGCCATAGGCACAACACATCTTTAACATTTGAATAAAAATTAAAAAAACACACCTAACAAAGTTCAGTTTTTTTTTTCGTCTTCTAGTGGACTAAGTTTGCTTATACGCGATTGCACGTGACTTCGTGTTGTCTACGCAACATGAACAAACACACATATTCCTCTACAGGAGGAAAGCAGAGCGTCCTCCCGGATCATAACTACTCGGGATGGCGTCGAGTGACTTGGGGGTGCCGTTAGGCTTAGAACAGTTTACACGAGGATGGACGCCAGGGCCAGGGGGTGACTATGAGAGTATCCCTGTTGAGATGTGAAGGCTGGCATTCTAACCGGAGCTCAAGGTGCGTTCACATTTCGCTAACACCAAACGCCTTTATGAACACACAATAGTACCGTATTCGAAGAGCACTCTGTAGGACTCAATAGCGACGTGATTGTCCAAATGCAATTGCAGATGTTAGCAAGGTAGGCTGGAGATAACTACTGTAGCACATGGCGTTTTTTTTTCTCCCATCAATATTGATTACTCGCTCGCGTTCAGCCTAGCCTCTCGTTATTATTATATTTTCTTAAATAAAAAGGCAGTATTATTTAATATTACGCCAGTTTTAATGATCGCCACCTATACGGAGGGCAAGTTCGTCTGCTACTTTTGCAAGGGTTGTGGTGACGTCAAAACACTGCGTTCCGATCGGTTCTGAATCAAGGATAGCGGGTAGACCTCAAGGCAGCCTGCTTTGAGGTCTGCTTCCTATTTTTCCATCAGAGCCAATCAGAGCTCGACGTCTTCCTGACGTCACCGCAACTCCTGCGCAAAAAGCAGACGACTTGCTCTCCGCATAGTGACTGACAACTTAAGAGACGCATGGCCTGGTAAGTCCCGAGCAATTCATTATCGCCCCGCAGCCAATGAGATTGAGGCATTGGCCAACGAGAAAGCAGAAGAGCCAATCAGGAAGCAAGAAGAGCGGACGTACTAAGCCACACCCTGCATTTTTTAAGCTGTCGATGACTGTGCAGAGATCAAGTTCGTCCGCTTCTTTTGCAGAGGTTATGGTGACGTCGGAACGCTGAGCTTTGATTGGCTCCGATTGAAGGATAGTGGGTAGACCTCGAGGCAGCTTGCTTTGAGGTCTGCTTCCTATTCTTCAATCAGAGCCAATCAGAGCTCGACGTCTTCCTGACGTCACCTTAACTCCTGCGCAAGAAGCAGACGACTTGCTCTCCGCATAGTGACTGACAACTTAAGAGACGCATGGCCTGGTAAGTCCCGAGCAATTCATTATCGCCCCGCAGCCAATGAGATTGAGGCATTGGCCAACGAGAAAGCAGAAGAGCCAATCAGGAAGCAAGAAGAGCGGACGTACTAAGCCATAACCTGCATTTTTTAAGCTGTCGATGACTGTGCAGAGATCAAGTTCGTCCGCTTCTTTTGCGGAGGTTATGGTGACGTCAGAACGCTGAGCTTTGATTGGCTCCGATTGAAGGATAGTGGGTAGACCTCGAGGCCTACCCACTATCCTTCAATCGGAGCCAATCAGAGCTTGGCTTCGTTCTGACGACACTGCAATCGCTGTGCAAGAAGCAGACAAACTTTCGCTCTGCACAGTAAGCAAGATGCTGACTTCGGGCGAGCAACGAGTGTTTGAGGAAGCGTCGGATGTAGCCATCATCCAGCCAGCCGAATTCAACTAGCGCCACAGGAATGACGACAGAAGTACGTACACACTCACCCACAGACGTACAGATTATACAGACAACACATGAAGGAAGGACTAGTAGTACATCCTGGACTGAGATCCAAGTGTCAACCTGTACAATCGAACTGTCCACAGAAAGCCAGGAACTTCCTAACCTACGAACATACCAGTAACAAATGTACATAACATATTTGAGAAGAACAATTAAACAATAGAAGGTCATATATATGTATATATATATACAAATCTGACAGACTAGATCACGTAAAGATGCCCGTTAGAGACACGGAGCTGCCTGTGAGAAACACACGAAACGCGTTGCTGGTAAGTGATAGGGTGATTTTTGTTTTTCAGACTTCTTGCTCGCGGCGCAAGTTCTGCAACTAGTTTCGATGATGCTTCAATTGCGCGTGAGTGCTTAGATCGTGCCCGAGCAGCGAAAGCACCGTCGACGCCGGTTGCCTTCGTATACATGCTTCGCGGAACAACTCAAAATGACTTCTATTTCACTCACCAGCATCAACCGGTTGGAAAGGTGAGGGATCTTAACAAACGATGTTATGAATTCAAGGTATCGACGGGTATCGAACTCATATACATGTTCGCGGTAATTGGAGAACCAAACGCAGAACTATGTGTAGTACGCATATGACTAGCCTTCACACTTGCCGGGTGACCTACGAGGGGCAGTGTGGTACACCGTTAAAAAAATGAGCAGAAGATAAAGTGACTAAGAATAAATAATCTCAACCCTTTCTCTCCCTCAGTTAGAGAAAAAAAAGTAAGTTATTGTGAACAGTTCTTTGAATCACATATATCAGTTTTGTGAATCACTCCCTAGTAGTTGGGCGTTCGCCCTCGTGCTTCTTGAGCAGCCACGCTAGGTGACGGCGAGGGATTGGTTGAGAATGTGCTTATATTGACACTTGCAGGGTGACGAGCCAGCTTACACACGGGTATGTTGAACCGTCAAACCCAGCGTCAATAACCACAGTTAAGCTCGTATATGTACTCGCGTAACGAACAAATAGTTAAAAAGGGCACCTTGATAACGACAAAAAATAAACGTTCAATGACGAGACAAACCTAACACGTGACACATAAGCCGCTTTCCGTTGTACTTTCTCTCGGAGAATCGGGATCCCCGTTTAAATCTAGGAACGTAAGTTTGTAACCCGTAATGGCTATCGCAAGCTTCCGCGTGCATGCGTGAACGAAAGTAAGGGCTGGGTAGGTAGAGTATTATTTCAACAACATGAAACGCAAAGCTCGTTAAAAAAATAAAAAAAAATACGAAGAAAAAATTGACAATTCACTTTAAACTATTGCAGGTCTTAATTATTCACAGAATAAGGAGCGCACATTCGATTTCTCAGCCAGCGTTTGTGCAAAAGTGGAAGTCACGTTTTTCTTTCTAAGTTGATGCTGTGACTGTCGTAGAACCCTGAGACGCACTTGTAAGGTTTTTAAATCTTTCAAAACGAAAGCAAAGGTCTCCTTTCTTAGGAGAAACTCGGCGTAGTTAGTAAGACAGCTGCGTACACTGGTATTGATGTCGGCACTGATTCTTAACGAAAGGTTTCGGACACAACGGTGAATTCAGAATAAAGATGAACTCACTACCTTTCCAAATGCATGCATACTATTATAACAGCGTTCGTGTCTTCATGAAAACGTCGAAACGCAAATTGCGCGATTAAGTTATTGCGCTTACTCGAGCGTTTTATTTTTAGAGTGTGTATACTTTACTTATACATGACTACACCCGTGGCAGCTCTCAACAAGATCGGTAGCACTCTTAGCCACCGATCTGAAGCGAGCTTTAGTCTTCACGAGTGACGACTAGTTGATATGACTCTCTTGAATCCTCCCTCATCCTAGTGCAGAGGAGAACACTCAATTTTGTAAGTCTACGTTTTGACAAATGATATGTCTCGAAGTTACATGCAACGTCTTTCTGCAGGCGATGTTCTACCTCGCAGCAAACGCTAGATGTAAGGCATTTTGAAGTTCCTACTTCTTCACTTTACAATCTTTGAGATGGCGTACTAGAAAACTTACCGTCTGTTTTTATTATCTATCTGCTTGCTCCTAAATTTTATGATGCCACGTAAACTTATGACGTGTTGACTTGACTTCTGGTGTATCTGGAAAGGGAATAATTGCAATCGAATTCTTCTTAACTTTGGTTCGTGACATTAGTTGGTATAAACTAGATGAGATAAATTAGGTCTGAGAGGAGCCTACGAGAAATGAATCGTTATGGATCATATTGGGGTCGACGTTTATGACCATTTTTGGTCCGTGTACGACGCCTGAAGAATCGTCGAGTTCCGTTTTCAACCAATCGATCTCGGAGCGGACTGCCGTCGATGGAAATCGCTTTTCTATTGTTAAGCTCGAAGGTGGCCTGGCGGCCACGTTGATTACGCAAACGACGAATAATATAGCATGCACACCTTCTTTCGTAGACACTAACAGAAAACATCTCGCGATGGTCGATTCCCTCAGACGTTTAACGGATGACTGAAAGATTATCATATCGACCGGGGCAAGCTAGCTTTTCTGCATAGACGAAAGCTGTGCGGGGAAAGATAAGCACCGGCATCTACATACTAAATGTTTTAATTCGTCGTATCTTGTAATGAGCTTAAATTGACGGTAAAGTTATTGACGTGTCACTAGTCTCGTTAGCCTCTTCGCATTTTTTTGTGTGTGGTTATTTAACAGGGAACAGTGTAGCGTTCCTAGAATGGTCGTTGTCAAATCAAAAACAAAATCCGGTGGAGTTTACTCGCTCCTGCAGCCTACATCACTTTCTGATGATGCCTGATGTGAAATGTTGACTGATTGCATCGAGGAGCGAGACCGGTCCAGTGACCTCTCAGCTGAAAGCACGTTGAACGTACCAGCATTTTGGTTGAAGAGTTCCTTCACTAAGCTAGTAAATCCTGTTTCTGGTGTACCTTAATAACTCCATTGTAAACCGGGTTTATCTAACGCAAGCTGGTCGGTGCTGCCCATCTAGGTTGATTGACGCGGAATCAGCTGGATGTACTCACGGCTATTTGTATCCTGGTCATAACATTCCTTGAGCGATATACCAAAAACAACGCCGCCTATTGTACGCTTGGAATATTTCTAGTCCCAAGACTTCAGTGCTAGAGACAGAAACATGCCTAGTCATGCACGAAAGAAAAATAAACTGACTCGCCTCTGCAATTGCACTAGTGCCGGCTTGTATGACCTGGATATCTTATGTCGCGTGTGTGACTGTGTTTGCAGCCATTGTCAATGCAAGTGGGAGCAGAAGAGAACTTGGCGCTTTGTGCCAGCATTTGGGGACTGCTTGGGGAAACCTGTATGAGCGCAGGTCGAGTGACTGGATAAACAAACCTGAGCAGACAATGGCTTGATTCTTGCCTCCTTGTCATCTGCTATGCCGTGGAACAACCTCTTCTCCGATTCGTTGGATGGCACTAGTGATACACTGCGCCACACTCTGTTCTGTTCACGCTCGCCGCGGTCAGAATTAGTAATGCATCGTAATAGGTTGTTTGATAACAATTTCATATATCGCCTTCCTAAATTGATTTGATTTTGTTTGTGAGTCTACGAGGCTGTCGGGACAAAAACATCGTTCACAAAACTATTTAGCGCCTAGAACGCGTCTCCGATTAGTTTTTTTAGCGCGTTATACTATCACTTCAGTATATTTTAAATCCGGCGAAAAAATACGCCATGGCGATGCCAGACAAAGCTGCGAATTGTCGTGATCCTGGCGGTTTGTTGTCAAAATTCAGTCGAAGCAGACGAGCGGACTCAAACATCGCTGTCGTCACGGTATGAAATCGTAATTTTAGCAGGATTACTATTAAAAGGCTTTACATTATTGCTTTGTATATTAGATGTAAGTTAATTGACGATGTTGTAAGTATCACCAGTATTGTAAGTATTAGTGTGACAGGAATACTATTCAAAACACTGGCTAGATGGCGCAAGTAGCAGCCCGATTTGAAGAGAGCAGCCGTACGCATACACCCTTCTGTGAAGCCAGCCAATGACAGCCGTAGTTTCCGTCGACTGGCGGGCTGCAGAGCGAACTACAACAGGGGCCCTAATCTGGACACTTGGCGAGAAACTCGGCGAGAAATCTGGCGGGCGTGATTGGCCAACGCCGCACTTGACCTTGGCACCGGCCAATCAGAACCGCGGGATTTCTCGCCGACTTTTTCGCCAAGTGTCCAGATTAGGGCCCCAGAACGGACATCTGCCGTGTTCACCATCACAGCCGTGCACCCGCCAGGATCGCGTCGGTCCGCAGAATTACACACAATCGTGACGCCACCAGCCGAAAATTTGAGGCGGCAAAGACACCGTTCGGAGACGCGTTCCAGGCGCTGTCAACAAAACCCAAGGCTACCTAATCGAACAGCAATTTCAACTCGCTGTGGGAGGAAGGACGGCGTTGTTTTCGGCGTCCTTCTGGGCCCTCTTGATGCAGAGTTCCCGCATCTGGAGCAAACTACCTTCGAGCGAGAGCGCGAAGAAGTCGGACGACGTCTCCGGCGAGCTGAAGAAAGAGGACACGCAGAAGTCCACATGCGCCGGGCAGATGTTGTAGGAACAGCCGTAGCCGTCCGGCACGACGGGACCGTAGCCCACCAGGATGCTTTTCTCTGTGGCCAGCTGCAAAGAAAGGACAAGAACACACGCTCGATGGCGTAATATCGCGGCTTTTGACGTCACTCCGCTACGGTGGCACTGCTGTTGGCGTGGCGCATACGTAAACGCATTACTTCACGTGATTCTGACTTCTGCGCACGGGCGGAACCCACACCTGACTCGGGCAAGTGCGGACAAGTTTGAAAGCAGCATTTTTTGTTTGTAAGCACGCACCAAAAAAGTCAAAGCCGCTTACAACTCGCTGTAACGCCGAATTAGAGCGCATCTCTTGAGGAGGAGGAGGGAAGGGTATACTTCTCCCCCTTTTCCTTCTCCTCCTCCTCCCCTTATTCTTCAATCTCCTCCAGGGGGGGGGGGGGGGGGGGTCGCCTGACCTCGGGGGGAGGGGGTCACGTGACCTCGCGGTTACGCCGACGCCGACGTCGCTCAAGCCGGAAACGGGCCCCTAAGAGCTACGCTCTAAAAGAAAACATGTTTCCCAGATATGTGCGCTCGCTAGGAATACTTGACTCTAGTTAAAATAAGATATGTCTGATCAGTGTGTGCTGCACCCATTTGTCTCGCGTACCTTAAAGTCTCGGGAGTAAAATGAAACGATACCTACCTGGCTGGTCGACAGCCGGAAGCGGAGGAAGTCGGCGTAAGACTTGTCCTCGAAGAGCGGGACCGTCTTTTCGTGTAGCCTGGCCATCTCGCGAAGTCCCAGCAGGTGGTTATCGGGACCTTCCCCGTTCACTGTCTGCACAGTCATCGCGTTTCATTACGAAAGGCCACAACATCCGGAATGAGGATTTCGGATCTTGTAAAAGCAAAGTACGGGGTACGATAGAGAAAATTAAATCCTATTTTACGGCCCACATAAATAAACTCTGCATCGCAGAAAGCCGAAATACATTTTTTTTCTTCAGAAATATAAACTAACGCGTTGTTAGTTTGCAGGTTGAGCTTGCGTGTGCAGCAAGTAGGCGAGAATTAAGTCGACAACCAAAAAATAAAAAGAAGAGAACACCGCATCGCCTGCCTGATGGCGCATTATGTTCGAGGATCATCCGAATAACGCGCTTTTAGGCCGAGGCTGCGCTACCCATACATTATACAAAAGGCAGTCTGCAGTCACTGTCTGAGACGTGTCATCATGTCTGTGGCCAACATCGTGTAATTTATATGGTGTACGACAGTGACTGGCCCTTAATTAAAAGCCGTATAACATTCCTCAAAACAGCAAATATATATATATATATTTATTGTGTACTACATCCTAACTTATAAAAATTATCGATGAGTTTCAATTGAGTGTGTAATGTACTCTACAAGAATACATTAGAAACTCCATTGAAACCCATTGATAATTTTTGTAGGGGTAAGCTAAATATCCGTACTAAATCTGTTCCTCGTCCATCCTTCCTTTTTTGGACAAACAAACAAACAAACAAACAAACAAACAAACAAACAAATAAGAACACACACACACACAAAGAAAGAGAGAGAGAAAGAATGAGAGAGAGGTATTGAAAATAAGAGACAACGCAAATGTACATGTTTGGCGCACAAAAAGGCTTTATTTTGAATTTTTAAATGGAGAATAAAGCGTTTCTCGCCCCAAATCTGAACGCAAGCATTATACTGTATTGAATTGAGCGACTTGTACAGTAGTACAGTATCCTGTCGTGTGCATTTGTTCACAGCAGACACGAAAGACCGAAGCACATTTCCAAGAACACGAGGTGAAAGTCAGACGAAAGTCGAACCATGCGAAAATCAATACACGCTTTTTTTTTTTTAGAAAGCGAGTCACCCGAGATAATTTGTCGCATGGAAATTGTTATTATTGCTATCTTAAAAAGCATACTTACAATTAATGTACTGTAATCGGCGCCACACAGATGCTGGCGCGGAGAAGCTAGCGCCAAGATTTATTAATTTTATTCTAAAATTGAAGAGCTGCCTTAGAATCTACTAGTGTGGCGGAGTGTCCCCATTTAGGACAGTAACTTAAGCGTTAAAGTTTGGCACCCGTTAATACTGTCTCCGAAATAATGCGTATAAAAACCCTGATGTGCTCGCGCTAACAGTGCCATGTACTGAACAATATATCCCGCTCACATCCGTTTTCTATTTATTAATATTATTATTATTTTTTTTTTACAGTGCGGGACAATTTTGCCGTGCTCAGACTTTCGTTCAACTTTCGGTTCGCATAGTTTGTACATGTGTCACACAGATGTCCAAAACACTTACGTAGGTGAGGATTTCGGTGCCTTTGTTAACGGCAGCTTGGAAAAACTTGATCCTGTCGTCCTCCTGCAAGAGATTACAAAGGGTATCATTAAAATTCTAAAGCCCTAAGCACGGAGCTGGATATTTTGAACGAGGCAAATATTAAGTTGTAGCATACATTAGGCAGTTAAAAACTATATTTTTTGCTTTTTTGGATGCAAGAAGAGAAAGAGAGAGAGAGGGAGTGACGAAGAAAGAAAAAGAGGGGGAGGTAAAGAGCTTATTTATCAACGGGTTAATTTTTGTGCGTATCATCCCTTTAATTGCAGAGTGAGACCCTTCTTCTTTCTTTCTTTTTATGCCTCATTCTTTTAGAGCGCGGCTCTTAGGAGCCCGTTTCTGGCTTGAGTGGCGACGCCGTCGGCGTCGGCGTCGGCGTCGGCGCAACTGCGCGTTGCATTATGGGAAGTTTCCCATAATGACGTCACGAGGGTTACCCTCGTGAGGGTTATGAGGGTTGCTCTCACGAGGGTTACGACGGTTACCCTCGCGAGGATCACACGGGTTACCCTCAGAAGGGTCACGAGCGTTACCCTCACGAGGGTTGCGAGGATTAGTTTCCCTCAAAAGGGTTACCCTCACGAGGGTCACGAGGGTTACTCTCACGTGGGTCACGAGAGTTACCCTCACGAGAGTTACGAGGGTTATGAGAGTTACCCTCACGAGGGTCACGAGGGTTACTCTCACGAGGGTAACGAGGGTTATCCTGACGAGGGTCACGAGGGTTATCCTCACGAGAGTTATGAGAGTTACCCTCACGAGGGTCACGAGAGTTACTAGGGTTACCCTCACGAGGGTTACTAGGGTTACCCTCACGAGGGTAATGAGGGTTACCCTCACGAGGGTCACAGGGGGTACCCTCGCGAGGGTTTTGAGGGTTTCTCTCAAGAGGGTCACAAGATTTACCTTCGTGACGTCACACGTGACGTCACGTGTGAGGGTAAAATCTTCCCACTATATTTAGCGGAAAATTTTCTCTGCTACATTTAACGGGGAAGGAAGAGCGGCATACCCTCCCCTCCGTACCATCCTTCTTCCTCCTCAAGAGCTGCGCTCTAATTCGGCGTTACAGAAAAATGTAGACGTCTTTAATTTTTTTCTTAATATCATCCTCTTAATTCTTCTCTTTCTCCCTATTTTTTTATTTATTCTTTCGCCCCTTTCCTGTTATTTTTCATCTTTTTTGTATCTCTCCTAGCGGTCCAAGCAGACTTGCGGATACCGTCTATAATAGCATGTCTGTGTCTGGTAAAGCAGACGTCGTCACCCCCCAGTCTCGCTTTCGCATCGCAAAGACTGGTTCCGCGCACCGTGGCATATGAGTATGATGCGGAGCGCAAGTTCGTCTGCTTCTTGCACAGGTGCTGCCAGGATGTCAGAACGCCGAGCTCTTGTTGGATGCTTGGAAGAAATAGTGGGTAGACCTCAAAGCATCCACTGAGGTCTACTCACTATTCTCCCAAATCAAAGCCAATCACAGCTCGGCGTCGTTCTGACGTCACCGCAACTCCTGCAAAAGGAGCAGACGACTTGCTTTCCGCACAGCCACAGACATTGACAGCCTAAGGAACGCGAGGTGCTTCTTAAGAGTGAACAGATGCTGGATGTGCTCACTCTTTTTGATTCGTAGTTTGTTCTTCGGCGCCCGTGTCGACTGATGTCTCAGCCCCATTAGCTGCGTGGTGATCGATGCTCGTGACTCGCCTCACCCTGCGTTCCTTAAGCTGCCAGCGGGTTTATATATAACACTTACCGAAGCCGGCACAGCGTCGCACATGGCCTGGATCCAGGTGAGAGCCTCGGACGTGGCCGCCCTGATGTTGTCCACGCGTCCCAGGTGGAACTTGCGCAGAGAGGCGCTCTCGTACGTCGACACCAGCTTCCGGTGCACCCTGCCGTACCCGGAGAGGAAGCTCCGCGTCACCACAATGACTTCACCGCACGAACACTCAAAGATGGGTGTAGCCCGAAACAACCCAGTCCCGTTTGAACCCGTCCCGTTTTGACCCATTCCCGAGACGACCTTCCCGTTTGAACCCGTCCCGTTTCGACCCATTCCCGAAACGACCTTCCCGTTTGAACCTGTCCCGTTTCAACCCGTTCCCGAAACGCCCTTCATATTTGAACCCGTAGCCAAGACATATTTTACGTTTGAATTCGTCCCGTTTGAACCCGTTGGTATAAAACCCCGCGCATCTCAACCTCTTCACAAAAAGTGGCCATCGTTCTAATCTTGGTTTGCGCAGTTTTTCTGCTTAAGAATATGTCCCGAAATCGTGTTAATGCAATTAATGGAAAGGTGCAAGGGAGCAATTCAGTTATTTTGTGAAATATTTTTGCTTGTAAACGTATTCTTAAAATACGCAATACTTTCAGACAAGCTTCAACGAAATATATTTCTACTTGAACCACTTAAAATGTTTCTTTCAATATGGTCCTCAAAATGTGTAACTACGAAATGGACTATGTACACTGCGCGACGTTACCGCGAACGCGATCTTGGCGATTTTTCGAATGTTACCTCGAAATGGTGTTAGAAGGTACCACATTTTGCCGCTTAGGTTAATGGATCAGATGAGCATTTTCAAATACACTAATAATATTGATGGCAGTCTTCTGATTTTTTTTAGACAAACAGCTAAAACCAACAATCGCTTCTTCGCGCTAACGGTTTCGCGCTCTGTACAATAACAGGGAGCTTTTGTAGAGCGTTTTCAACGTCACGCGACGCTCCTCCGCAACCGCTACGATACCCAGAACTTTACAATCAAGGCCATCGGCGCGCAGGCGCAGTAGCGGCTTCTTTGTCGAGGAGGGTTTATCGAAAGGGGAAACGCGGTCTACTAAAATTCCCTAATAAAGTCTTACAGTAACGCAGGCAAGCACTTTGAGTCAGCAAAAATTAGCGTTGCCTGAGTTTTTATATCGCTGCGCTATTTTTAAGCTACCCAAAGCGCTTGCGTACGTTATTCTAAAACTTCCTTATAGTGAACGGGATATTTTTGAGAGTGATAAATCAGAGAGGCTGACGGGCATATGATCGCGACTTCATTTTCCTACAAGTTCAAACACAGAACCGTTACGTACACAGGCAAAAACCATAAACCACAAAATGCTATCGCCTCGGTTGAAGAAGTCGGGCAGGAAAATCGCGCCATCAGAAAGGCGACACTCCAATTGTGATAGTTCGCGGCGGTCACCTGGCCCGCACGTCACCACCATTTGCAAGCTGCTGCAGCGATATCCTTGTCAAGGCTTCATCCCGTCTGCAGGTCGATGAAGTTGTAAATGTTTGGATGAGCCCTCCCTGACACAGCGTTTATCTTACGGTGCCATGTCTCCGAGGTTGTTTCGGGAGAGGGAGAAGTGATGTGGACAAGAAGAACAGTCACTGGACACTTGAACCTAATCAACTGTTAACGAACAATACAAACGAACCGAACGATGGCCGAAGCGGGAAGGTTGTTCCGGGAAAGGGCGGAATGGGAAGGGATGAAATGGGAAGGTCGTTTTGAGACGGGTCGAAACGGGAAGGTACAGACGGGAAGGTTGTTTTGGGAATGGGTCGAAACGGGAACCACCCCTCAAGGATACTGCGCTCGCGGGGCCGTCCCCATGCTTCACGCGTTTTTCTTCAGAGGGAAATCTAAATTTGTGTATTGCTGTAGTTAATTTATATGTCTTCAGACAGAAAAAAAAATCGCGATACTATAGTCTACAAGGACCGTAAGATCTTCAGTTGAAGCTCCGATTTCAGCACAGCTGTTTTCTACCTTCGATAACACTTTGGCACACGCACGGCCAAGTCACGGTGGGAGGCAACGTGTGTTGGAGCCGAAGCTTCTCCTTCTTCGATGAATACATTTTTTTTTTGTCGAAAATGTTCGTTTAGCAATTATGCCAAGACGCCATTTTCTCGTTCATTGCTAGTCGACAACAATAACTCGAATGTGACGAAAAAGGTGAGTGATTGTTGCAGAACGTCTCCGTCTAGCAGAGAATACAAGCTAAGTAGTGCTCCTATCTGCCAAAGCCCTTAGACCCTGTGAAGTTGACTGAAATATCATTTCCTTCTACATATTTTATTCGCGTCATTCTCTACCCAACCAATTTTTATTTCTAGTTGGTTTTACTATATGTTTTATAGTCCAAAATGCGTCTTCGGCGCACCAGGACGCAAGAAGTGACGCTCCGACGAATGTGAAACGAACAAAATGCGCAGGGAACGCGCGATGACGAGGCAGCCAAGCCCGCATCATCCTGGCTTGGGGTCGGGGGAAACAAAAGCACGCGGGCCCATTTAAAGGGTAAACAAACCCACGATATGCGCAAAGAGCAGACGAACTTTCACGCCGTATAGTTACTATGCAGAGAGCAAGTCGTCTGCTTCTTGCCCACGAGTGGCGGTGACGTCACAACCACGCCGAGCTCTGATTGGCTTTGATTGAAAGGATAGTGGGTAGACCTTAAGGCCAGATGCCTTGAGGTCTATACCCACTATTCTTTTTTTTTTTTTTTCAATCAGCCAATAAGAGCTCGGCGTTTTGGCTTTATCGCAACCCCTATGCAAGAAGCAGACGAACTTGCGCTGCGCGTACTAGCTCAAACTAAAGTCTGAATTATTTATTGGTTTCTGATGCTCCGGTCTCAAATTAAAGTCTTAATTCTGTTTTATTGGTTTTTGACGCTCCGGTGGGAGCACACGCTTCACCCCCCTCATCGGGTCGGCGCGTTTCTTGACGGTATTTTCTACGACTTACTTGTAGTACGTTAGTTGTAGGGCCAGTTGTATGAAGACGTCCGGGCTTATTTTCTGTGCCTTGATGAAGTCTTTGCCGTAGTTTTGAAAGGTGAGGACGTATAGATCCACGTCTTCTGCCAATCTGAGAAGAAGAAATCATTTTTTTATTTTAGATTCCAGCACTATAGATGGGTTACGCACTGCATTCAATGTCGAAGGGACAGTTTTGTTGCTATTCGGCCAGAGATGAGAGCGCGCGATGACACCAAAATGCCGAGCTCTGGTTGGAATGATTAGCAGGGGGCAGACCTAAAGCTAGCCGCCTTTGCCTCCGCTGCACTAGTCAGACACATTCGAACGCGAACGCCGGACGCCGGCATTCCGCATTTTAACGCGTTCGACAAGTGCAACGAAGGCAATGGCAGCTTTTAATTGTCTCCACCGCGTTGTTCGAACGCGTTAAAACGTAGATCGTGGAACGCAGGTATCCGGCGTTCGGCATTCGCAATCGGAAGCGTTCGACGAGTCGAGCAGTGAGCAGACAAAGGCGGCTAGCTTTGTCTGCTCACTGCTAATCCTTCCAACCAGAGCTTGGTGTTCTGACGTCCCTCTCTTCTCCTCCTCTTTCTCAGTTTCTATCCGCATAGTCACCGACAGCTCGAGAAATGCGGGGCATGGTTCCGTGCATCTAGTTATCACTCAGCAGCCAATGAGATTGCGGCATTATCAAATAAGAAGCGTGCACAAAGTAGCCCATGCCCTCCGCGTTCTTTGAACTGACACTGATCAGTGATGCTGGTGCACCACCCGTCGGAAATGTGCGGATCACGTCTCCGACTGACATGACCAACTTTTTGAGACATTCCGTGGAATAAAAAAAAGTTTTCGAGGAAATCTAGAGTTTTTGTTTGATTTGCGTTTTATGATGCCCAGGTAATTACAGTCATCGGAAACATAAACGATATTTTGTCAAGAAAAGCAGAAGTTGATAATTTTGTGAATGTGGCCCAAAACAATCAAAGCAAAAAAAAAAAAAAAAAAAAATGGAGCCGTGGTATAGAAACTATACGCGTCCAAAGATTTAATTACTGCTTACTGGTATTTTACGACCGTCACCTGAAACATTCCCGGGGAACACTGCGGAGTATGTTGTTGTTCCTTTAAAATTCTTATTGTACTGCGTGCGCCGAGGTGTTGGTGTCCAAGAAGGTTGGGGATGCGGGTTTTAGCCCGTTTTAATTTTGAAGCCTCTCTTTCCAAGTGGGGATGTCAACACTGCGTTATGATACAGATCGCTCGGGTTCTGACATTGGAAGAAATTACAATAGTAGGGGAGGGAAGGAGAAAAAAAACTCTAGAATTTGGCGTAAAAGATTTGTCGCGTGAATTATGTTATTTTATTCTTTAACTTGTTCACATGATCACTTTCATCTGGGATTGCATACAATGTGTGGCAAGGTTTAAGTTAGGTTCAGATAATTAAAAATAGCGCAAGCATGAACACAAGGAAAAGTAGAAGACAAAGATAAACACAACGCTGATGGAAAAATGCCCTTGAATATTTTTTTGTTTCACTTCCTTCTACTTTTGTGTCAATCTAGTTTTCTCTGAAAAAAAAAAAAAAGAAAAAAAAAAAGAAAACGACAGTCGTTAGTCAGCACTGTGTTTATCTGTGTCTTACCATTGCCCTTGTCCTCATTTTTGCGTTGTTTTTATTTCGCTGATTATGCACCGACTCGCCCACTTCGCAGCTTAATTGAAGAAGTACTTCGGCGATTTTTTGGAGCTACCCCAACTAATTATATTTTCGGAATCAACCGGCCGTACCCTTTCCAGTATGCTATTCAGTATCGCGAAATTCAGAATATTTCTTGCGAAGTCGGCAAGTTAAAATAATGCCAAAACCAACCTTCCCTGCCTTCCCGTGCCGTGACGTCACAGGAAGGCAGGCTTGCAGGTAGAGCGGACAATGTAAAAATGGACTATGCCAAGCATTTGTTTCGTGCTGCTGCACGGGAGCTGGAGCGAGCGTCCAAAGAACTCGCTTGACACCATGAAACTGCTTGTAATTATTTGAGAAAAAAGTCTACAGACAAAAGAGTGAACCCTTGTTTTCCGCTGACGCCTCTTTTACATTGCCGCTAGTAGAGATTTTCACTTTAAAAAACACGGTAAGGGCCAAAATTTTGAATTCAAAACCTCGGCGAAAAAAAAAAAAATAAAATCCCAATATTTGGGTTACTATTTCACCGATGTTTGTTGGTGTGTTTAGCAAATTTTCCGGCAAATCGGGAACTATGAAGAAAACGCCGGAGTACCCATTTAAGTTAGTTTATCTGGTCAACCGGATAACGTAACAAAAAAAGACCAACCGGTAGGGGCCCTTTGACCTTTCTGCGAACTTCCGACTCTCCTCAGCCAAATTAACGAATTAAAACAAATTCAAATGAAATGAAATCTGGGCAGGGGGCGGGGGCGTATTCACGCAAGAGTCAATCTAGTCCCATATCTCGTGTGTTTATTGTAAGTGTGTTTGTGCAAAAAAGAATTAAATTGAAAGTTGCGCTCGGTCATCCCAGGTTCGATTGTCAATTAACGAAAGTATCTGTAATATTCCGGTATTCTTTCTTTCTTTTGAAAAGAAGTAATGACTACTCAAAATCTAAAAATTGTGGAATCGTTTTCGTGCATTTATGTCCACATTCTTATAAGACTGCAGTGATAAAGTAAAATCTAAATCACTACGGTACCAACCAAAGGTGGCCAATTCAAAATAATCCTTACTGGGAATAGGCCTTATAAAATTTTTTACAGCAGTCAACGCATGGCGCAATGAAAACCAGCATCTGTTCTTTTGTCTGACAGTATCTTTTACTGGATAGAATTTAAGATGAGGGAATATTTCGATGGTCATGTTCCCATGGTGCAGTCATACGGGTAGCAACATTCAACAGGTTGTGTTCAAAAATCAATTTAATAGAAAAAATAAAGGCGCGGCCGCAGTTTATTGGTGTGTCTCAACGTAATACCGCAACAGCCACGTTTTTTTTCTTTTTCAGAAACCCAACTGTTTATTGTTAGACATGTAGGTCCGTGTGTCCAGGAGTACACTCACTTGCCGAGCGACTTGCTGGCCTCCTGGATGGTTCTGAGCATGTCCTCATTCAGGTCCCAGCTGAGCCTCGACACCGGATACAGAGATGTGTCCCCACTCCCCCTTCGGGCTGATGAGCATACCGAATGTTCTTGCCTGAAAAAACACCACAAGATCATGCCGTTTCTGCGGGTCGTCTTCCTTTCTAAGACACTAGCTCGAGCAGGAATACTGGCCCAGAAATGTTTGCTTTAACTTCCCCAAAGAAAAAGAGAAGCACCTCCCGCCTTCTTTCACCTCAGCAGAGGGAACGCTGGAGAGGAGGTGGCCTCCTCTCCAGCGTTCCCTCTGCTGAACCGGAAGGAGGATGAAAGGAGCTTTAACTTTATTCTTAACGTGTCACCAACTATAGACAAGGATCTATTGTTTGTGTATTTTTACGTATATTTTGGTGCAAGATTGGGCAGGGATGAAACTTTGAGGCATCAGTATATGGTGGGGCTAGGGCTTGTAAGGGAGGTGTCACGATTGCGCGGGTGAAAGCGGTTCCGCGATTCAACCCATACACACAATATTATCTGCGAGTCGACAGGAGCACCACACCGTACTGTTCACCTTCATAGGGGCTTTCCAATGGATTCCTAAAGTCAAACCGCATGGTCCGCGCTGCTTCCTCCTAAGTCCTGACCGCACCTTACGATGCATACACAAATCGACGTTTCAAAATGCCGCGGCTTACACCATGACTCCTTTCTGGATACCTCAATTAGTCGCGGGCTCAACTAGCCTGCCTTTGTTTGCTACCGACAAAGAATGAACGCCGTCCTGCCTCTCAACATTTTTAGATACAAGCGCTTCCGACTCTTGGCGCAGGTAACGAATTTCGTTGAAATCCTCGCATACGGTCTTCGTCGCTGGGGCTACTTTTCAGTGAAGTTTCTAGCGTTCTGTGATCCTCGGTTAATTTATGCACTGCGAATTAACCCCTAAAAGTTCTCTTGTTGGCGCTCTTAGGGGACTGCTAATTGCTCGGTTACAGCTTTATACAAAGGACACTTTTATTTATGAGGTTATTTATAATTTTCCAGTGCGTAAGCATTATTTTATTTATCTATTTATTGATTGTTTATATCACTTCTATATATCACGAGCGGTAATATGCATCCCCGAATAAAAAAATGTAAATAAGTTGTTGAAGCGATATCAGAATTGCCACGGGCCTTGAAACCCCCCCCCCCCCCCCCCCAAAAAAAAGAAAAAAAAAAGAAAAAAAAAAAAACGTACATGCATTTGAATTTTCGAGATGCTGACTGTCCAAAAACAAAACCAAGCAAAAAAAAAAAAAAAAAAAGCTAAGATTTGCCGCAGCGAATGCTACAAGCACGAGCTCCTTGCTCAAGGACGCAAGGACACGCATTTGGTGTGTAAACTTTTGCGCAGCAAGATATTGATCGCGTAACACACGCAAAAAACCAAGGTTGCGTAGGTTGCGATTGAGTTTGTGTCTACCCGAGTCCGTAGTGATATGCGCAGCCTGTGTACTCACACGAAGTCGAGGAATTCCTCGCAGAACCTGAGGACCGTGACGCCGTCGGAGCCCGAATGCTCGATAATGAGACCGTTGACTCCGTCTCGGCTGACGACTATCTGGCAAGCACAGAGAAAGGGACAGTGAGACGACATCATCGCTCCTGATGTCCCTTGATTCTAAGCGCCGATGTCAGAGAGCGCACATTCTCTTTCGTAACTACAAACATTAATAAAACAAATGATCCGTGTTTGGCACACGCTTTGGATTCTCACCAAGATCACAATCTCGCGCCGGTTGGGCTTTAGTCGCTACACCTGTTACGCGCTGGAATATTTTGTTCGTAAACTCATTATTCCACCTTGCCACTGATTACAAACTTCTTGCAAGTGAACTTTGACAAGCGAACAAAACATGGCGTAAACGCAGGAGCACTTCAGATGACGTCGCTTATAGCTCCTGTTCTGCGGAGAAGCATTGAAGGAGACGGCTGTTTTGCACCCCGTTTTACCTTACGTCGGGCCACAGCGGATGTTACGAGTCAATCCCAGCCAATCCAGCTCTATGAACGTGGCACGTGACTACACTTTCCGCTCATCACGACGCCTCCTCTCGAAGGTCGGGGGAACTCATACGAACTTGGATTGGCTCCGATAGCTCGAAGAATCCGCTACGGCCGGACGTAAGGTAAACCAAACTATTATGCACTGTAAGAAGAAAAAAAAGAAAAAAACCGCACAGACAGATGAGGGTTGCGTGACAGTGACACTCTTCCGGTAAAATGCCCCTCAGTGGCTACTTATCTTAGGTTGCAGGGGATGTTGAAACATTCTATAGTCTGTTGCAACATTCGAAAAGCCTGTCAGGCTTTGCCCACAAACAAAAACGATCCGGTGAATTGTCGATGTCCCGAGGATCATCGGGCGTTGCGTGGAACTACATGCACTCTTGTGGGCTTCCATATTGAACAAGTGCGCTTACGGAGACTTCTTCCGACACGCCAAAAGAAAAATAGTGTGTGTTCATAGTTTCATACCAAGTGGTTCCATGGCACGCTATATGTATCTCTGGGAGAATTTGGTGGCGGGTCCTCTACTTCTGCTCTCTTCTTTTGCGACAGACCGTGGTTGTTGTTGCTTTCGCGTTTCGGCGCGCTGTATAGAAGTGAGCGAGGAGGAGACATCTATACTCGCCTGCATGAACTTGTCGTACCAGCGGTTTGCGGCATTCCCTTCGCCCGGGGTGTTGCTCTCGCCGTGCAGCAGGTGCGCCGCCTGGGCGGCCCAGTCCAGGGTGAAGGACTCGCGCCGGATCGTGGCGTAGTGGCGCCGCAGGTTGAGCGGCCTGTCCAGGCACACCACCAGCAGGCACGTCTCCAGGGACTGCAGCGAGCACTGGTTCACGTTGCCTACGCATGTCAATAAAAAAAAAAAAAAAAAAAAAAAAAAACAACACGGGGTTGATTATGCGTTCTGCTTTAAGGCAGGGTAGTTGTCTAATGCCGCAGTAACACAGCTCTTACATAATAGAAAAAGGCGCGGAGTTCGCAAGCGACAGCGTTAAAGAGCTCGTGTTGCAGAAAAGCCGATGTCGGTGGCGTGACGCAAAAATCCAGGACATGACCTCGCGCGGGAATTTCAAACAACGCTCACGTGAAACGTGACGTCACGCGTGGAATGAAAGTTATTAAAAAAACATGAGATGTAATGCGAATTAAAAGTCGCCGCATGCTTCAAATCATTTCACTTTAGAAGGTAATTAATTTGCCCCCAAAAAGATTGTAGAAATTTTGGCGGGATTCGAACCCGCAAATTGAATCAAATTTTTTGAGTAATGTTCAATTCAATTTAGTTTATTATTAATTGGAAAAAATGTGTTGATAGGAATAGCATTTTTAAATGAAGCTGTATGTGACTAAAGGACTGCACAACTGTGCAATAAAATTTAAAATTAAAATAACGGTATCAGTAACAAAAAAAATTTGAACTGGAAGAAGAATTGATGCCAGTACACGGACAAATGGGAAAAACAAAAGTAAATGTGCCATTTGTGTATTTTCGTGATTCGTAATAAATTGTCTCTTCCTGCGATTGTTAGGTGATTGATCAGCTAACACGGCTTGGTGTATGATTATGTATAGTATCACGTTCCTGGGCGAGCCTTTTCGCCCCTTTTTTGTCCGTCTTCAAACTCAGTGGCTCCATTTATTGAGTAGCCCAGGCACACTACCGATTCGTGTATATTTCCAAATTACTTTACTCATCGCTCTTTTATTACAAAAGTGAATTAAGTCTGACAGTGCTATAAGTGGCCATTTCGCGAAGATTGCGTGTACATTTGATTTCGAAAATACACCCGCCGTCTAGTTCAGAACCGGAAGTAGTGGTGGGGTTTATTTGCACACTAGCGCCACCACGTTTCAACTCACGCGAGAAAGAGCGAATGCAAAGCACGCTTCATTGAGACATTAAGTAATCGTCGTCCCTTTTTTATTGCTTGGTCTATATCTGAACGTGTACTGCACTTATGATGAAGGCACGTATCAGTCGGCGTGTAATTCTGTTGAACACGACAAATAGCCCTAAATTAGCATCGACTGGCGATATATAGAACTTGGTTCAGTCTGTGTGAGTCGTTAGGCATATCAACAAGCGACCACAACGTACGCAATGCCGTGCTCTAGGGAAATCAACAATACGCTTGTTTGTTTGCTGGCTTATGAATAGATGCGCCGATAAACTGAATAAACAAGTATCGCGATATATTCAGGGACTATTTAACGTATTCAGTGATTATTTAGTTTTCTTTTTTTTTGTAGATAACAATAGGGTGCGTAAAAAAGATGCACCAGGAGTGTTGGGTATCGTTAACGCAAAGCAGGCGAGAGAGCAAGTCGTCTACTTCTTGGGCAGGAGTTTCGTTGACGTCAGGACGACGCCGAGCTAGCTGTGATGGGTTTTGAGTAACAGAATAGTGGGTGGGCCTCAATGCTAGATGCGTTGAGGTCTACTCATTATTTTTTTCAATCGGCCAATAAGAGCTCGACTTTCTGACATCATCGCAACCTCTGTGCAACAAGCATCCGAAATTGCACTCCGGATTGATTAACCGGAAAGCCCACGCAACTTGTTCTTGTAACATTAATAAGAACAGCGTTAAATCACTGAAAAAATATTTTTTTAACATTCTGAAAAAATATATTAGAATTCTTTTTTTCATGATGTAGAAAACCTGAGACTGTGGTAAAAGCAGGGAAACTTGGTCGAAGAAGAAAGACAGGAGAAAAGAACGTCTCAAAAGACGTTCTTTTCCCCTGTATTTCTTCTTCAACCAAGTTTCCCTGCTTTTACCACAATCTCTGGTTTTCTACATCATGATCAACATCCACCAGCTCGCCTGCGCACTCACTGTTTTTTGATTGAATTTTTTTTATTCTTCAATAATCTGATACAGGATAGACCCGCGTTCAAAAATCTGCCTGCGCTTCTGCTTTTCATACAGAATGATTCGGCTCGAAAAAGTAATCTGCGCAGGCGACAATGAGCGTGACTTTTTTTTACCTAATTGGCCGTGCGCAAATGGCGTTTCGAGTAAACCTTTTTTTTTTCTTAAGTTGTTGTTGCTTGGACGATCTTCGAAAATCACAGTTATCGGTCCAGTGTCGTGGGAAGGTATTTTACTTTCCAGTGGTGATCGCTCAAGCGAAAAATGGCGACTCACTTTGCTGTGGACGAATGCATGGCGTCTAATATTCCGCAAAAGAAAACTACTGCGGATGCTCGGAGCGCGTTCCACAGCCGAGTCGCCAAAAATGGCTAGATGCCATCTTTGTCGACTCGGCTGTTGTGTCACCCAAGCGAAACATGCCGAGTCACTGCTGCGGCGTCCAAGGACTTTTATATACGCCAAGACACGGCATGACGTCATGCTCGCCCGAAAAAAGAGCTCAATCCCAGGATCAGGGTATCGGAACAAAACGAAAACCAAAAACGAAAAACGAAAAAAAACTATATTTTTTGGCGGAACGGAAACGTAATCGAAACGTTATTTATTATTTTGTTCCGGAGTGAAACCGAAAAATTTTCTTATCGGTTTTCGGTTCAAGGGAAAATATCAGGTATTTCAGTAATTCGTTTCACGCAGCGAAGAGACTGCCGTTGGTTTCTACCATAATTAAAGAGAAGACAAGCATCGCCCCCGCGTCTAAACTCCGGGCGAACAAGCATAGCAAAAACAAAGACAAAAAATACAACGAGGAACAAAAAACATGACGCAAGGCGCCATTGCTTCCCACCAATGAAAGCGCGGTGACGCGACGCCTCCACACGCTCGCTATGCTCTCCTTGGCTCTTGCGCCCCCTCCCTCCATGCTTTCTTCGGACGACACAGACAGACAACAGATCACGGCAAGCGCGGGAAGTTTGTGACCCGGCGTTGTAGAAGTCCATCTTGTTTTTCTACGGATACGGCGGTCTGAGACTCTGTTGCAAAAGTGTACTTCTTCATCCCTATGGGCCTTAAGGGCCTTTTCGGCGCTAAAATTTATTTTATCGGACCAGAGGTCCTGCCTTTCACCGAGCACACTTGATGACGCGCTGCTTCTGAGATCATGCTCGGTGCCTTGATCATGATCTCAGTCTCAAGGCAATGAACATGATCTCAGAAGCAATGTCGTTTCCGCGGATTCCTCTGGAGCGCCTGAATTATCTATTTTTGTGTAAAAATAAACGTTACGTTCCTTTTAATTTTTGTTGGGATTTCTTTTTTTTTTTTTTTTTCGTATAGAAAGAAACCGTTACGAACCGTTACGGAGCATTATTTTTTTCGTTCCGGAGCGGAAACGGAACGGAACTTTTTTGTATGGAACGAAAATGAAAACGGAACGAAAAACATTTCGTTCCAACACCCTGCCCAGGATGCCGTGCGTACGGACACTGCCCTCTTCGTCTGCTCGCCGCCGTTCGGTCGTCTAAGTTAGGCTTAGGCTGTGTCTGCTCCGTTTTTGTGGTCTGCTTCGTCTGCCCGCTGTTGAGGCTGGCTTTCAATACGATCGGCGCACCAAAAGAAGTTTCGGTGCGGACGCGCAGTCACAACAACGATGGAAGGCTGTAGTGATGACTCGACAGTTTCCACTCGCATGCCCCGTGCCGACACGTACAGGGTGTCACAAAAGAAAATTTTACACGGACTTTTTACCTCAAAAATAAACTAGGCATTGCCGAACGCTCATTCTCCGCCCAAAGCTAGCCCTAGAGGTCACAACCAGATGCCAAAGTTTCAGACTGATCCGATAACTTAATCAAGAGTTATAAGTGATTTTCTGAAAATTTCAATGGGAAAATGGAGCCTCTTTTTGCCCGTTTTCGGTTTCTGGTGCCATAGAGCCCCATGTGTTTGAAAACTCCGTCGGCCGCCATTTTCCCATTGAAATTTTCAGAAAATCACTTGTAACTTTTGATTAAGTTATCGGATCGGGCTGAAACTTTGATATCTGGTTGTGACCTCTAGGGCTAGCTTTGGGCGGAAAATGAGCTTTCGGCGATGCGTAGTTTATTTTTCCGGTAAAAAAGACCGTGTAAACTTTCTTTTGTGACACCCTGTACTTCCATCCTTCGAGTACGCAAGCTCTTAGTTACCTTGAGTTTGTTGAAAGTGATACTAAAACACTTGGGTTCCGAACTCTGGTGCTCCTTCCCCGCGAGGTAAAGTTAACGAACAAGTGCTGGGAACGGAGCATCTGCGGTCTTTTAAATCCGGTGCCATTATCAGAGTTCGTGCGTACGGCGTCGGATAAGCTCGTTTTCCAAAGCCGCGCTATGACGACTCGCTTTAGACGACGCTTCCGGCGCACTGTCTAGAGAATCCGCCACACGCCGACCTCCTACTGGCCAGGCAAGGGCAGGGCTCCGAATCTTACCTATTCGACGCCGATTCAGTGGACGCCGCCACTTGAATGTATGAGGCAAACAGCCGGGTTACCACGACAATGGACCTTTTCCACATACCGACGGCACCAGGCGGTGACTGCACGAACTAAAAATTGAGGAAGTGACCTACCTGCGCTCCTAATCGATAATGGGAGCTGCGCTACCAGTTTCTTCGCTCTATGAGCTGCAACGCGACTTTAAGGAGGGGAAAGAAAAACACGACCCAAACGCCATGTTTTTCTTTCCGTCCACTTTCTTTTTTTGTGTAACACAATTATATATATATGTTGCAATTGCGTGTTCTACTCGCTGATCAACAGCCTCCTTCCGAATTTCCTCGATTTTTAGTACCGACTTCCACCGCTTGGCATCGGGCGCTCGCGCGTGCGCAGAACGCTTCTCGGAAAAGGTCCATTATATACGGAGCGTAAGTTCGTCTGCTCCTTTTGCAGGGTTTGTGGTGATGTCAGGAAGAAACCGAGCTCTGGTTGGCTCCGATAGAAGGATAGTGGGAAGACCTCAAAGCAAGGTGCCTTGAGGTCTAGTTATTATCATTCGATCAGAACCAATCAGAGCTCGGCGTTCTGTTGAGAATTAAGCAGACGAACTTGCGCTCCGCATAGCAACGCGGTTTTTCCCCACATATTTACATAGCGGAGACAGTTAACTGAGTCTCCTTTTGGTCGAGAAACTGAGAGGACATTTCGTGGCCACGCCTACTTTTCTTACACATCGCTCCATATATGGAGAATACGGACGCCCCATCTAGCCCGATATAACCTCCTTGGCGACGTCTGACATTCAACGGAAGAGAACTACTACGCATCGGAACGTGTTTCACGGTCCGGTACACTAAGGTAGAAGCGCACAGAAGGCGATTGTTGCAACGGTCGCACGGATATCTTGTTTAGAGTGTAGTATTGAACCAAGACGCGGCTAACGGACAGGCCCGCATTTGCCCCCACGATCTGTGGGCACCCGGAGTGAGCAGGAACTAGATTCGCATGAGGTAGAACGTCCGCGCATGCGCAGTGCCAACAGCAGCCCCACCGCTATGGCGTGACGTCAGAGGGTTAGTTTGGCGCACACAGACGCACTACATCTCGAAGTATTAGGGAGTTCAATTGTCATTAAAAAGAGCGTCTGATGCCACGGCGTCGTCATTACTGCGATAAAAACTCTCTTCGACCGGCTTGAAAGGTCCTAGGTCCTCATTAGACCCCGCCTAATTAGTCGTACAAGACGCGGAGGAGCGGTCGTGTGCAGCGTCCGCGGGTGCAGATGCGCGTTCCCCAAGGGCTGCTGTTCGAGATTAATTATGCTCTGTCGGGATTTGTCTGTGGGCGCCGTCACGCTGCATACTAATGATTCCCCACTAATCCTCCCCCCTCCCCCCTTTTTCTTTAAATCTCTGGTTCTGAGTAGTCTTTAAAAACATAATTCTACTGCGCTTTTTTTTCTTTTGTCAGTGGCTACAAACCTTTCCGGAGCTTACCACCTGACCGAAAACTTCCGAGTCATTGGGCTAGGGACGAATGCATGGCGTCTCTTACTCCACGGAAGAGGGCTATGCGCAAGCTCAGAAGGCACTCCACAACCCAGTTGACAAAGGTCTCAACGCGTACAAGGTGATCATTAAAAATGTCTATAGTTGACAACGTTTTAGACTGCGTTTCGGTTGAACTGCAACAGCAGGAGTCTGACGCACCCATGAGCGTGGTAGTAGGCCCGTGGTAGTCGACAACTGCAGTAAATAGAAATCGTGTGTACTTTTGTGGACAACATGAGCTGGAACAGTCCTTCATGCTCCTTCACCAGCTTTTGAGAGAGCTGTGCTCGAAACTAGCGATGGAATCCAAGATTGAGGTCCCGTATACAGCTGCGAAAGGCCGAGCCGGTTGATTCAGCTCAAAATGTCAAAAAAAAAAAAAAAAAAAAAACCCTAAATTGATAAAACAAAAAACAAAAAGAAGACAAAAGTATAAAACGCTTCTTACTCCGAGAGAGCTTGAGATAGAGGTTGGACCAGGTTCTTCTGTTTTCCGTTGTGAGGATCCCGACGGGCGGCTGTCTTTCCGAAGGGTCCTTGGCTCGCCGCTTGATGCTCAGGAGCTGCTCGACGATGGCTTCCGTGTCCAGTTCTTCTTTGTCCAGTGGCAGTTTTAGCCGGAAGAACTGCGCGTCAGAAAACGCTGAAACTTCAGTGGAAGGTAACCCTGGTTTTGTATGCAGGACGAGAAGGTTCGAGCCTGATACGTTGCCTGAATCACAAGTTAGAGCGATTTCCTGAATTGAAGTTAGGGCCGCGGTTTTCGTCGGTCGCAAATGTAATCCGGCTATTTCAGACCGCGACTCGCAATTGAGCGTGAGGCTGGTGTCCTAGAGAAGCCGCCATAATGCGGAACCTGCAGGTAGCGTCATTAATGAGCTGTGGTATTAATACCTTGTCCTATGCCATGTCTAGGTCTACTATAGACAAATGACGATTGTATCTCGCCCATATTTTTAAGAAATAGCTTCTAACATTTGCTTCGAGTAACGTATAAGGCTCAAAAGTTCTCATTAGATATTCACCGCTAGTTTTCCGAACACCACAACACTACCCTTATCACTGTTTTCTTTTTATACACACAGCCCCAGCACCCCTCTAGGCTGAGTCCCCTCTCAAATATTCGTAGCGTTCTCTTTGGATCAACAATCCTGGATAAACCCCAGCTCCTATTTTAGCTGCTATAGCAGCTAAAAAAAAAAAGCTCCTGCTTCTACTTTTCCGCACAACACTCGGAGAGCCAATCACCGCAACTTACGGAGGCAGCTCAGCGAATGACGATGCCAAAACGTATGCTTAAACCAAAAAAAAACAAAAAAAAACGCAGTCTGAGTTGTGACATTAAGTAATGCAAGCGTGACGTTTTGCATTGTTTAATGTCACAACTCAGACTGCGTTTTTCGGTCTAAACATATGTTTCGGCATCATCATTCGCTGAGCTGCCTCTGTAAGTAGCGGTGATTGGATCTCAGAGTGTTGTGCGGGAAAGTAGAGACACGGTCTTCTATTTAGAGTGGTACCTGGTCTCGGCAGACGACGATGACGTGGTCTTGCTGTTGCATGGCCGTGTCCAGTAGGAGGTCGTCCTTGTTCGGGCCCGGCCTTCGGTAGGCCGGGAAGAAGTGTCGGTACGTCTGCATGCACAGGGGCTGCTGCCCGCCGCCTCGGCTGCGACTCACGTCCGGCCGTAAGGTTCCGCTGGGAAGACGCGCACGCGTTGCAGTGTTCCGAATAATGCCCCAGTGCCACGGCCACACCGATCATACGCCATACAAAAGACACGGCGTTCGCTGCAGGCATGATGACAGAGGCATGTTCGAATCATATTTGCTTCATATATATGAACGTTTCAAAAGTGTCTACGTGACAGGACTATCATACAAGGAAACGCCTCACACTATAGTATAGTGTTTGCTTGTTTTCCTCAATGGAAAAGGATGTCGAAGACATCTGAAGGCCTCTTTGAGTACTTAATGGGTGTTTAGATAATCCATCTCAGATCACACAGCCAGAGAAGGGACTTGTTATCTAAGAGCTGCGTTCCAAAAACTTCTAAACAAGCGTTTTTTTTTAAAGTCTATAAGTCTATTTGTGTGTTAGAAAAGAGGTATCAAATATAAACAAACTGTGAGATCTGGACTGCCGTCGTGATCCCACAGCCGAGTGAAAGTTGTGAATATTTTTTCTTGCAGCAGAGCGCAGTTGAAAGGCAGCCAAAGTTGCTGGCGTGCGTCCGTGGACAGTGATCGATGGTCAATCAAAAGCTCCACATAGTATATATGCGAGCATATTGTTCACTTCTTCAAAGTTAACTGCAGAACGTTGTTCCTAAGTACAATTCCGGTGTTTTAAGAACCCGATTGGGATTTAAAGTATGAGATGGTGAAAGACGAATTGAGAAATTAGTTTCGGGCCTATGCATAGCATCCTCGGATTCAGGCAGATACGATGGGCCTAGATCCACTAAATGTGCTGCGCTAAGAGTATCGGCACTCAGTTCCCCGACATTGTTGTGGGCGCCGCCATTTTGGTACTTGTGCAGAGCAGATGCAACTGCCGATCGCCATGATTCAAAAGTGCGACTTCTTCAGCATTAGATTCGCTGTTAGGAAGCTCATGTGAGATTGATTTTCTCTATCGCGAACTGTTTAAACGTTTGTTGAGGACGGGAAAACGTTTTCTGTGATTTTAGGTAAACCTTCAGATAACTGGCAACCATGACTTTAAGCCACAATAGGGCCAAGTGTCGTTACTCTGAAGCGTAGCTTATTTAGTGGTACTAGATGGGCCCTTTTTCAAGACCCTATCAGGCAACCTTTGTGGTCGCCATTTTCAGGGGCAAGAAGCGTGTGATTGGAACCGAGTCCTCGACGATCGCTGACGTAGCACTCGTGCTAGATACGTGCTCAGCCGAGCTCACGCCGAATGGTGACGGAACCGTCGGGTCCAATGCATGCTCAGAGTACGTGATGATATTATGGCGGACTCGTATAATTCTAGTAGTGGCTACTAGATGGCGCGCCGTTTCAAAAGGGCGTATTGCTGACGCTTGAAAGAACAACCAAAATCTAAAAGCAAAAAAAGAAAAAAAGGCTACACTGAAAGTACGCAGAAATTAAGGCAATATAAAACTACGGTTTTTGTGGGTCGATGCATGCTTCTAAGTATAACGCGACAAATCGATGAACGCCAAATCGACGAACCATACAAGAAAGCAAACCAGAAAGAGAGAGAGAGAGAAAAAGAAAAGCTTCCGAGCTAATCAATACCACTCAGAGCGGCTGGGAAAACAAAGGAAAGATGGAGAGGGAAGAAGACTCACTTGTCGATCTTTCGTTTGAAAAGCACCGCGAATTCAATGAAGCGTGCCGCAAACCTGGAAGAAAAGGGGACGATCGGAACAGGAATATGAATGACAAGTAAGCCACGGGCCGTTTTATTATACAGATTTCTCAACCAGTGCGGAACGGAAGTACATCTGCTTCTTGCACATTGGATGCGATGATGTCAGAATGCCGAGCTCTTATTGGCTGATTGAACAAAAAAAATAGTTTGTAGACCTTGAGGCATCTAGCATTTAGCATTAAGGTCTACCCACTCTCATTTCAATCAAAGCCAATCATTACTCGGCGTCGCTTTGACGTCACCGGAAGTCGTGCGCCAGAAGCAGACGACTTGGGCTATGTTCCAAATCTTACCCGAGTAACCTGTTTCCTACGTCAGCGGGTAATACCACGTGACATCGCGAGTAAAAGATCCGCTACTCGGTTTTGGAACGGCCGGGATAATCACCTGGATACTACGCGGTATGGCTTCGTCTTGGGCTACGATGAAAAGAAAATACAACAGTGATGGCAGAAAATAGCAGACGATCCTTTCGATGATGGAGAAAGCACTCGAAGGGACGATAATATTAATGACGTCGCGGTGTTTTCTGAGGTGGATCCACCAGCTCCTTTTGAGAAAATTACTTACTCCTTCCAGTTACACATCAAAAATTTGTTTTTATTACTCAATGCGATCGCTGTAGTTCTAGTCCAGGTGCCCTAAACAAATATATTTCACGGATTGTAATTTGCACCGATTACGTTTTGCAGAAATTGCTTCCATACGGTGTAGGGGTACAGCGCAGGGGGCTTTTGAACAGTGATATGTTAGTTACGTTCGCTTTGACGCGAATGTGATTACAAAATCACAAAGAGGAGGGAGAGGGGGAGTGGTGGTTGACTGATCATACACATAAAATTTCTGAGGCCTTCACTGCTTTACAAGTGTTATCATCTCATTACACACATTCTGGGGGAAACAAAAATACTATCTCGTTATTTACTGCGTTCGAACATTTTCAGCGTTGAACGTGGGAATACGGCATTCCCTCCTACGCCGAGGACGAGGATGCCGAGAAGCTCCTGTTTACGCTCGCACTCTGATAATAACAAGTATATTTTCCCGGGGAAGGTGCACGGTCTGGATGTAATACAGCCAATTCCTGCGTTGAAAACTGCAAATCGCAATTACCACACATAAATCGGTGCACCTCATTCTTTGTCATTTCGAACGTCCGCCACCAAAGCCAATGAACCAAGCGAGCTTTGACGGCTGTCGGCGCAGAAAGCAGACGACGAACGGATCACGTGGAGGCTAGCATGAGTAATTACTCCGGGGTAAACAACCTGCTTCTGAAACGCGAGTTCTGAAGTCATCGAGTTAGCTCAAAAAAGTAATGAAACAACACGGTACGAAACCTTTACTCCGGGGTGCGGATCGAGTAAATTTTGGAACACAGCCTTGCTCTCCACATAGTCACGGACTGTCTCAGAAATGCGGTACGTGGCCTATATTTCAATCTTATTGTCTGCGGAGCGATGGATGGATGGGTGGAGGAATGCATGAGGTTGAACCCTTTGAATCAGGCGGTGGCTTGCGCCACCTAGCCAGTTTTTTCCCCTGGCATTTATTTAACATAGAGTTATATATCTAAAGAACGATCAAGGGTGGATCGGTCCCGAGTGAGCTAGCGCACACCAGCTCGGAGCACGTGAAGCGAAGGCTCACGCTGCAGAACTCAGGGATTTCTGGGTTCAATCTCAGCCCTGTCCGTTTCGATCTGGATGAGCATCGTACCGGCGTGCGGTCGTGTTTCGCTACTGCGTGTTGCACGTTAAAGACCTCAGGCTAGCGGTTGTACTGCACTGGCTAAACTTCTCATCTACAGCTACAGACAAGCCACCTAAGTTCTAGGCTGTATAAACATGCACACACCTCAATCGTTTTTAGAGAACGATCATGAGGTCTGCTCGATTTGGCCAGAATGTTCTGAGCTAGTTCAGTCCGAGTTCAGAAGAATGCAGGGGCCCTATGTTGCGCTTTTCGGACTCCGGCGGCCACTAGGGAGAGGAAAGTGACGTCAACAACGCAGCAGGCACAGATTGAATGTTGATTGGTGAGAGTCGCTGATGACGAATTTCCACAGAAGAAAACGAAGCTCACGTTCTGCGTTTGCTGCGTTGTTGACGTCACTTCCCTCTTTATAGACGCCGTGGGAGTCCAAAAAGCGCAATATAGGGCGCCAGGAGTCGTTCAGCGACGGCGGAAATCCAGTACAGACACCGCGTTAGGGCTGGCACTGTGATCAAATTCCGGAGTGGAATCGCAGAGTGTCGTCTGCATCTGTTAGCTTCCGTTTCTCCAGGCCACGGTGTACAGTGCATTTCTTTATTCCCGGTTTGGTATGATTATTGACACAATGAATGTTTGTCCATAGGAACATTTTCATCACGAAATGCGATCCTTCTGCCCTTTTAACGGTTCTCCTCCGCTTTCTATCTTTGAAACAACCATTTTTGTCCTACCGCGTACGCCACGATAGGATTTGCATTTATTTGGAAATAGTAGATTAATTCCAAGTGTCTCCAGTTTTGCAAGTATCTGATAGGTTCGCAGCATTATGATGATTTAGCGTCGGGATTTAATGGCGCTAGTGGTTTTTGAAGACGAAGGCCGGACGAGAGCGTCGCCTTGGCTAAAACAGTTATCGTTATTCTGTTTGACCTTAGGTTGAAGCATTATTCGGCCTCTGAAGAAATATACACCTGAAACTGCAAACCATAGCCAATTCCAAACATTTTTTCCCCAGTTCCCATTTGTGAGCGGCCACATATATCATCGGACAAAGCATGCCATATATTATGTGCAGCAACGTGGACACGCGACGCGAGTGCCAATGCACTAAATCACAGACGTCTGCAATGTACCGGAGCAATTGACCGTAGTCGTCAATCCAAGACATGTTAAAGGCGGGACATTACGAGTGTAATTCTTCCCCCGAGTTTTTTTAAAAAGAGTAAGAACATTGTAAATATTCACGTAGCATAAAAAAGAAACAATTACAGACCGATCTCACTATGCGTTTGGCGCATGCGTGAAGCCGCCACAACTTTAGTTCACAGGAGGCAGGCGTCAGTGCCCGAGACGACTTGTGCTGCTTTGGGCTCTGCACGCGTAAAGCTTCAGCAGAGTTGTCGCACGCGCAAAAAGACTAAAGTTTCTTGGTGCATTGCTGCAGTAATGCTCCAAGAACCTAACTTAGCACTGATTTACGGGTTTCAGTTCAGCTAGTGGGTACATATTGTTGGCAATCGGACCCGCTGAACACGAAAAAACGAGAACGCAGAGAAAAAGACTGGACAAACACAGCGCCGACTAACAACCGACTTTTACTTCATCCTCTTCCCAGCCTAGGCACTTTCTTCTTTCTCTTACGGCACATTGAACACGATTAAAAAACAAAAAAAGACACCTCGTCGATAACGGTTCACGAAAAATAACGACAATATTTGCGGTTTGCCACAACCCGTGAAATATTGAAAAAAACATTTTTAATAGTGTTTAATATGCCTTAGGAGGAAGAAGAAAGTGCCTAGGCTGGGAAGAGGATGAAATGAAAGTCAGTTGTTAGTCAGCGGTGTGTTTGGCCAGTCTTTTTCTCTCTGTTCTCGTTTTTTTTTTGTGTGTGTTCAGCTGACCCGATAACCATTAGCACTGATGCAGCGCTGTTGGAGCAACGAATCGCTAAAGGCCTGTTAGCGCTAACTCAGCGCTATTCGTCCGCGCTGGAAATAATGCCGACCTCGCTAATGCGGAGCTGACTTCCCGGCATATTATACTTCGTTTCAGCCGAAGTGCATACGCAGACAACGCTACGAGCGAATGGGACCGACCAATCAAGGTGCGCCAAAAGCGCGAATCTCTGGGAATTTGTTTTCTCATTTTTTTATTTGTTCAGCGATGAACAAAAGGTACAGAAACATGACCAAGTCCATGACGGTGCCCTTTTGACGCTGTCTGGTTGGCCCCATCAGCTCGTAGCGTCGGCTGCGTTTAGACTTGAGGTACAAATAGGTATCGATACAACGCCGATGCAGCGCTGCGTGCATCGGTTCTAACGTACACGTTCAAATCGTCAGCGCTGTTTCTAGCGTTGATTCAGAGCTCCGATATATGTGTAAACCAGTAGCTAGTAATGTTTTTCAGAGAAGGGGGCTGAGGTAGCTTGGATTTCCATGACTTGGGGTGCGGAGGGAGAGGGCGTGGGGGTCAAAATGCACGTATATATTACTGGGTCCCCTGGATCTCGGGTTGGAGGGGGGGGGGGAGAAACTAAAATCTCCTAAGACACTACACCCCCCCCCCCCCCTTCCCCGGCTATGCCACTCGTGTGAAGTCGTCGCTACATCAGGAAGAACCGCGATATTTCTAGCTGTGACTAGATAGTACTGAGGTAGCGCCGTTGGTGCATGCGTGAACAGACCTTGAATGCCAGAGTTTGGATTATCGCCGACACGAATGCTTTCGTATACGGCAGTGCGTTTTCATTTGTGCGCCAAGAAAGCCGTCGGAGAGAGCGCGGACTCGAGCATCAAACGAGAAAGAATATGGGTCGACTCGCCTAGCTTGCTCTGCGGAGGTCCTGAAGTTTTGCTTGGGAAGGAGACAGAACGGAGAAGAGTTGACGGGAAGCGGTTGGTCGTTATTGAGGTACATGTCGTCCAGCCAGAGCTCCGTCACCTGAGCGCAAAAGAAGCGGAGAGAGCGAGCGAAGGTAAGTTGAACTGTACAAATATTTTCAAATGTTAGAGCCATGCACTCTATACAACAATAACAAAAAGTATGTGAGTGCGGTCCTCCAGAACACGGTACAAGTAATATGGACGAGCAATAAAAATATCCCATTGCGATGTGCACAAGGACAATGATCGTGACGCTTCAATCGATTGTTGCCCTATAGCATTTGTCAATTTTTTTTTTTCAGGTCTTCTCGTATTTTGAGCATCGTCATTCGTAGGGATTCTTATAATGTTCGCTGTGATTGACAGCCTTCGTCTTCTGCCGAAAAGTGAACTCATAATCTTTTATTTTTGTGCGTGTATAGTCATTAAGAAGTTAAGAAACGCAGAGCGTGACGAATCCCTGCACTTCTATTTTCGGCCGGGCGATGCCGTCAATAGGTTTATTGCATTAGCCAAAAATAACTGCAAAGAACAAATCCCAAAGGTTGAAGCGTGAATATGGTAAGTCAAGCGCTGCGTTTTTTTTTAAGCTATCAGTGGTAGCTTAAGTTTGAGCATTTTCTTTTTTATTGTCTATTGTAAACTAGTATTTATTATCACCTTACATCTCCAAATTTTGCTGGATTATGTTCTTGGAGAGAAACGTAAAATATAAAGCAACAAAATTACGACCAAGCAAACAGAGTGAAGACTTCAGCCCGTGTTTATAGACGACAAACGTGCGAAAGCCTCAAAAACATCAAGGGTTTTGAGGCGATCGTCACGTCTCCTTATTACGGCTCCCCCCCCCCCCCCTCCCCCCTTGTTTTACTTTTCATAAATCAACTGGTACACGCGGCTGCTATGGGTACTAATAGCCAGTTTTTATAACGCGTATAAAGAAATTGTTCACACAGATACAGTAGTAAGTTCTTCAAACGCTACCAAGACGTATCATCATTACGAACAAACGTACAGACATACGAGTCTAGTTTATTTTGTTCACGACTGTACGCATGCCTACCATTAATTACTAAGCGACTTTTTGTTTTGTTTTGATAAATGAATTACGAAGGCCATCACTGTTGTTGTGATATGATACTGTCCGTAATCTTGGAAATATTGAGCAATATCGTAATAGCCATTATAGTCATTCTAAGGCAAATATTCGCCACAAAACTTGTTTTGTTACCAATCGTAGTACTTATTGCATTTCCTTCCTCTCTCTCTCTTTTTCTCTCTTTCTTGTCTCTCTTTCTTTCTATCTCTCGTGGTTTGATGTAAAGGCGCTTGGACCTTAGCATCTACGGTTGGTGTACTGTTTTTGTTTCTATTCCTTCATTTCTCGTGTCATTTACTTTTCTTTCTTCTGTTATACTCTATTTTTAACAAAAAATAATTACAATGTAAACACGCAAAACATTCCTAAAACCGGGAATTTATAGAGAACGCAGGGAATTCCCGATCTACCAAAGAATTAAAACAAAAAACAAAAACCGGACGCTCCCCGGTTTTCATTGAAACGTCAAACATAAACGACTTGAGCACGTGCGCTAAACCAACTTCAATGGAAAATATACTTCAGCACGCCGGTGAGTGTTTTCTTTCTCCATTTGCCCTCCCACCCATTCTCTATTTTTTTTTTTTTTTTTTCGTACGCACATGAGCGGCAGGGTAGACCGTCGGGCACGATCCTGAAGAGGATCGTGTTCTCAAGCCTTTGGTCCGATGTGGTTGCGCGTGCTGTTCGCCAGTACGTGCTTAAGTGGAAGACTACGGTTGCTGTCCTAAGGGGGAGGGGAGGGGGGCATTCATTGGTAGGGGTCTGGCATTCGATGTTATGATTAAAGGAGGGATTTTAAAAGGCAGGCACCGCGACGCATTGAACGCCGAACTTTGGGGAAGTTTTAACAAGCCTGGTGCGTTCTCTAATGATAATGTGCTTGCGAAATTTTTCTTTTGCTTGTGTTTGTAGTCGGTTGCTTGGCTTGATAGACTCGTGAAAGACCTTGCAAGTGTTTTTTTTTTTTCTTGTTGTAGCGTGACTCTATACTACTACGTGCATCACGGCTTTATGATAACGGTAAAGGTGTTTTTAGTGCACCGAGCCTCTTGCACTGCGCTTACCACGATTCGGGTTTGAACGGTGCCAATATTGGGTTTGTTTCGTTACATTTCAAACACGCCCCCCCCCCCCCCCCCCCAAAAAAAAAAAAAAAAAAAAAAAGTTAATGAAGTGGCTTTTTTTATGGAGCTTAGATTACGTAATTCACGAATGATTTCATAACATTGCATTTTCAGTTTGTCATTAAAAGAATGAGAAAACTTCTTGACATTAGCGTATCGGACTTGAAGTTGTTGATGACATATATTGGTGACAGGTTGGCTACTTCGTTCCCCCGATGACGTAATACTTTCTTTTCATGAAAATGTAGGTTAAAAAGCCAAGAAAAGTACCGTTTCACGTGAAGTACGTTTTCCCACGGTATGACCCTTATATAGGCGAAGCTAGCTTTACATTATAAAGATGTTGATTTTTTTTTAAATTTTTTGTAACTTGTTTGTTTACGAGTAGTCAGCAACAGCTAATAAAAGGCAGGGTGTGGCGACTCCCAGTCATCTCATTATCGCTTTGCAACCAATAAGATTGTGACATTGCTCAATTATAATTCTAAATCCACGCCCCACGTTTCTTAAGTTGGAAGTGACTGTAGCTGCCTTATTCGTGTAAAAGACGCTTTTTGGGGATATTGGAGATAAAGCCAGGCTTTATGACTATCACGATGTTGCGCGCGAACCCTCTCTAGACCTGCATATCAGTTGAGTATTGCGCGTTTTTATATGACCATAGTGTTTTCACGTATTCTGGCTTGCCGAGTTTTATTACTGTAACAAAAATAGTACCTTTCAATCATTGGAGTAAAAATACTGACAATTGTATTTTCATTTCTTAAAAAAAGAGCGATAAATGATGCATCTCCTTCCCCATAAAAATAAACAAATGAAGTAAAAACGCCTAAAGCGACAGAAGGGATTCGAATAGCAAATGTGTACAGCTAAAACGCACCGAGAGGTCAGTTGAAGGTTAGAACAATTTTGCATCTGAATTAATCTTTATCTAAAATATGGCTGAATTTAGCCTGACTAGTTGATCGTGCGCAAAACAATCAACAGTGCAAGGGAGTCAAATTGAAGTTATCAGACTTATAACGATGAGTTTGATGACGAGTTACAGTAAACGCCTGAAAGTAATCCCGTTTCTTTTTTCCTTTTCGTGGGAATACAGTGTTGTTTTGAAACATGAAATGCATTTCAGAGCTACCCCCCTTCCGCAGTCCCAAAATTTTGTACGTGCGTATGTGCGTGAATTTCCCGCTAAATATAGCGGGGAAAATGTTATTATGAGACTGATAGACGAATTCAGTTTTACAGCTCAATTTTGCGGGAAAATTGATGACACGTAATCTGACGTCACGGGATATTCAAATCAATTAATATTCCCCGCTAAATATGGTGAAAACATCGACGGCATGTGACTTGTACGTCAATTTAGTTTCCCTGCTCTATTTAGCGAGAAAGTTCACATCTTGAGGCCAAAAAATCAATTCAGTTTTCCCGCTAAATTTAGTGGGAAATTGACCTCACGTGACCTATGCATCAATTCAGTTATGCTCTAAATTTAGCGGGAAAATTCCCATCTTGCGACCTGGACACCAATCAAGTTTCCCCGCTAAATTTAGCGGGGGAAATCGACGTCAAGGGACGTCAACCATTCTGTTTTCCCGCTGTGTAAACTGGATTGGTAGCTATAGTCTGTTGCAACCTAAGAACGAAGGGCGAGGGTAAGACAGGCCGGGGAGGAGGAAGCAGACGGAACGCTGAAGAGAGGAGGTTTCCCCCTTTTTTCTCTAGCGTTCCGTCTGCTTCCTCCTCTCAGGCAGGGCCTATCATCGCCCTTCGTTCTTAGGTTGCAACGGACTAAAGGTGACTAGACACCGATCCAAACATCAATTCTCTCACCAATAGACCGATCTCACGAGGAGTTGCGCGACGCCACCGCTGCCGCGGTGCATTCTGGTACCTGTAGTTCTCCCCAGTTTTCCGGCCGCGTCGGCGCGCATTGTACGCCCGGCGTTTGGAAATTTTCGGGTTAGCACGAGACTTTTAGCCAGGTGTTGACTCATGGTTTTCAATCGGTGGCTTCAGATGTTGTATGCCACGGAGCTATGATAACAGCACCAGGCAAAAAGGCCTCGGATATTATGTCTTCACGCAAGGAAGAAGCATGGCAAAGAAAGGTCGACAGTGCCGGACAGAGCGGCAGGAAAAATAGCGTTTTACGATTTGTTTCGCGATTTGCTTCCTAATTTATATCCAATTATTGCACGTCAGCTAAAATATGTAAGATTACAGGGCACGAGACATACAGCGTGCCGAAGTGTTCCGTAAGCTGGAATCTCTCTGACCATTTGCTCCGTAGCGGCCTATTCGTTGGTCTATCTCAAATAGGAACTCCGCACTGCTTTGCGGAGGCTGTTTTTAATACACTTCATAAGGGGTGTCCAAACAGGACACTACAAAACCCGCGACTCCGACAAATCGTGAAAATTGAAGCGGACGCTTCTATTTTTACGGTCTGCAGGAGTCGTGAAAATGTTTGCAGGAGTCGTGAAAATTTTTACGATCACGACTGCTCTCCTCTTCAGATTGACGTCACACGCCACCTGCGTCTGTCTCACCTCGCCAACGCCCTCGCGTACCGCCGTCGCCTCGGCTCGAAGGCCAAGGAGGTCCGGCTTTGGGTGGATTTGGGACATTCCTGCGTCGAAGGGTGCGTTTCGCCCGCCTCGGATCTGCTTTCTTTGTCGAGATTCACTTTCGTCGTGATGGCGTCCGACGCGGTTCCGTATTGTGAGCAGAGGCCTTGAGCAATTTACCGACAGCCAACAGAGCGTGTGAGTGGCTCTCCGGACCCACGTGATGAGCAGAGCAAGGCCGCCGTGGAGGAAGCGAGGGGGA